CCTGCAGTGCCCGCTTTATTTGCCCCTTCTCGGGCAGTTCCGGATGGCAGAGATCGCGGTAATAGCATTTCTGGGTGGCAGTGCACTGATCTCAGGAGCCAAAGCCTTTGAATCAAGCTTGATTGTGTCCCATTCTAGGTTTTTAACTTCCCAATCTAGCATTCTGAGAAAAGCTTTCGTAAAAAGGAGATTGTTCCTCTTCCCTTCCCTTCCTCCACCACCACCACCCAATCTCTCCGGATTCTCAGGAGCCAAAGCTTTTGAATCGAGCTTGATTGTGTCCCATTCTAGGTTTTTAACTTCCCAATCTAGCGTTCTCCACCCCCCACCCCAAATCTTTCCGGATCTGCTTATTGTTATTGCTGCTATTGCGCCCAGCTACCGTATCTCTTTGCTGCAGGACAGATCTGAGCTGATTGGGGGGACGGGGGTGGAGGAAGGGAAGAGAAACAATCTCCTCATCACGAAGTCTTTTCTCAAGATGCTAGAGCTTCATTTTCTTTCCGGGAAAAGCTATTGGCATCGCTGGGATCTTGGCTAGTGGAAGAAGTGCAGGATGGAAAGGAAACTTCGGAATGCAGCCTGGGACCTGCTTTTGCCCTGAGACTAAGGAAGTGGGGTTGCCAAGAGGGCTGTGAACAAGCCTGGTTGTTCAAGGAGGCAGCCTTGCCGGGTTGTTTCCTTTGGGCTTCCCTTTTGCTGCTCAGGTGCCATTTCAGCAGCCCCCATGTGTCTTTCCTTCCTCACTGAAGAGAAGAAGCGAGCCAACTGCTGCTCCTTGGGCCAAGCGGCTCTGTGTCGCCGGTCAGAGGGGACACAATAAAGCGCAGAGAGATATGTTTAGTCATGGGAGGGGTAGAGAAAAGTAGGTTTGAGATCGATAAACGCCTTACCCTTTAGGAAGATTGAGCCCCCACGTGTCACATTTTTGCCCTCCCCCCAAAAAAACCAGAGTGCAAAGTGTTCCTAGGGACCAGGGAGGGCAAAAACTTTTTTAAAAAATTTACGTCTTCAAAATCTTGGTGCGTCGTATACCCCGGTGTCTTATACTCCGAAAAATATGGTATTTTTTAAAGCATCAGGCCAATTATTTTTTAATGCTACGATTAAAAGCCCAGATAATTAGTTCCTTAAAAACTCAGGCTTCTGCAACTTTTAATAATAAACACAAACTTGCTAGTAATCTATACTTGTTTTACAGAAGAGAATTAGCGCTTTCTTCTCCACGGTCAATATGAAAACACAAGCAGTGAACCTCTTAGCAAATTATAGTAGTAATTTGTTGTATTGCATGTTATTTTAAAGTAGGGGTGTCAACCTTGCATCGTCACCTTGTCATCGTGTGATGTAACACAACTTTTTTTTCTTCTTTGCTAAAACTGGGGTGGCTAGCACGTGACGCGTCCGGCCCACAGACCGCAAGTTTGACACCCCTGTTTGAAAGGCTTTCTTCAAGGGACTGGCAAAAGAAAATTGTTACTTAGTGAAGTCACCTAGTCAGTTGAAAGTTTTCAGATCTAAAACCTTTTGTCAGGCCTGCAGTTATATCCCTTTTAGGATCTTTGGCCTGCCACACTCTCTCTTATTTCATTATGCT